CTACCAGTCGCTCGAGATGTGATGTAGTCGGATCCAGCCTCAATGCTCTCCTCCTCTCTAGCAGATCCTTTGTGGCTTTTGAAATTCGTTCCAAGTTCCTTGTGCGAGGCATTGAGGCGCTTTCACCATAGGCTCTCAGTCCTCTAAGAAGCAGATCGTAGTCTTTCGTCGGGTCTTCCTCGATGGGCCAGTCACAAGTGGTTAGGAGCTCCTCCAATCTGACGCCGTCATATACGACTTCTCTCCCTCCTCCAACACGGTGACAGATTTTCCTTTCCAGCTTTCGGCTGAATCGCATTTTTGCTCGAAGAATGATCGAGCGGTGATCTGAGCCCCTACTGAACCTTACCACTGAGACGACCACTAAGCACCACCTTCGGTTTGTGAGAATGTGGGGTCGATTTCCGCATGAGTCGTACCGTTGGATGACTCCCATGTCCACCGTCGTTGTTCTTTCTTCATGAAGATGGATTGCCATGAACAAGTCATGCGGCGGATAAGAGCCAAGACGGTCATTCTCGTTCCGGAGTCCTGATCCAAATCTCCCGATCCTGTACTCCCCTTCTTCTGACATCCCGTTTTCCGCATTGAAGTCACCAACGACGAACTTGTAGAAGGAGTGTTCTTTGTGGATGTTTTCCTCATAGAAAACATCAAGTTCCGAATCATCAGCTGCTGATGTTGGAGAAAAACAGGTGTTGATAGTGGTGGTTTTCTGATGCAGAGGACGGAGTCGAAGTCGCAGTTTGACACCCAGAATCATCCCCGCGCCATGATGAGGCGATAGACCATCGTAGACAATCGCGGGGGATGGACGTCATGGATTTCGGACCAGAAGGGCACGTCAACGACTCGCCATGGAGATTGTCTTATGCTCTGCACCTAAAACGTCAGGACAGTCTCCGCCAACGCCGATCTTCACGCGCTTCTCAAAGCTGCAGGGCGCATTAATTACCACGTAGTCGCCTTGCAGGAAGCAAAGTCCAGAAAGACGGTCGTGAGGCAGCGTGATGGCACACTCATCATTCGTGAAAGTTTCATCACGGAACATTGGAGGCGTTGGATTTGTCGTACACCCATCTGTTGTCCATCTTGTCGAT